ATAAATTTAATTTTGTTCTAAATATTCAATATTTCACTGCAAACGTAAGAGAACTAACTGTAATATGAAAATTAATTCGAAGTTATTTTTTGCCGTTTTCAGAATAAGCTTTTTAAATGATTGTCACATTAGAGAATGTAAATTAATAGAGAAGACAAAATGAAATCTTTTTGAGTACTGATTTGTTGTTCCAGATGAGGGAACATCGAAAAATATAACTTCGGGGTAAAGGCTATAAATAATATAAGACACAAGGAATGTTCCTAAATGAATTATCATTTGAAGTAGTGAGAAGTACATGACGATAGCTTTTTGAGTACACACATTAAACTTTCAGATGAAGATCTTGTCTGTGGTGCTGCTCGTACAGCAGAATTCCTTATTGTAACATCAGTAGTTTTCCGAAATTCAAATCCTATTACAGGTATGTTTGTATTTTTATAAACCTATTTTACTTAATTATAAAATAATTCTATTTTCATTATTATTTCCCTCATTTGAACATTTTCTTTTCATAAGTCAATAACTTTCCTTATTATTATTTTAATTTTTGTTCATGCGCATGCCAAAGAACATCTGTGCATATGTATGCATATACATTTTGCTTATAGCAGAGAATGTTAATGAATCATTATCTGATAAAAGCTTTAGAAAGTACTTAGTTGAGATTAGAACCTTTTTCCAGTTGTGCTATTTTATTATTAATATAAGGCGAAAAGGTTCTAATCTCAACTAAGTACTTTCTAAAGCTTTTATCAGATAATGCGAATAAATAAATAAATTCACTGATTTTAACATATGGTACTATATGCAATTTTTGTATTTTCGTATTTTATGTTTTCTGCTTGCATATTAATTCAACAAATGTGTTTCTAATTGACGCTTTAATTCTTATTATATTTAAATGAATTATGATTAGAAGTTAAATTTTGGACTGTACGAAATATGTAACAAAAAGGAAAGACTGTTTTCCATTATCCATCGAACTTGTATTTCAAATTAAATGTTTCAAAAGAATTTCGGAGGTAATCCAATCGATGTAATTTATCGCCACTGTTTTACATGGACGGCCTTATGTCCCGTGTCGTCAATTCATAACCATGCACACGTAGAAATGTTGGATGAGTACGAATTACGTATACGCCATGGCTTCAACCATTCATTGACTCACAATAAATACCTAAGTAAGTAAGTTCAAATAGCTAACATAACCGAGTCGGCGCGCTATCCATTTAGTGTTATATGTTTCTAAAAATAATTTGAAAAATTTAAAACTATTTTGGCAGATATGGATGTCTGTCGAAAAATTTCAAAATGTAACAATCTGGTTACCATCACCACCACATAGATGATTATCGGGTAGTTATTTGGTTTTGTTAATTATTGTTGATATCTATTTAAAGGATTTTATGCGAGCGAGGCCGCGGTAAATGCTAGTATATTATATAACTGATGTTTTGATTTTAAAAAGTTAGTAAATAACTTAAATGCCGAAATATATACATACATATTTACATTTTGTATGTATGTATGTATATTGGTACATATTTGTATAGATACATATGTATAAAATGAGTAATCATAGCTTTTGGTCAGATACTACTATGTATATATATATACATATGTACCTATGTTATTTTGCCTAAAAACATATAAATGTACAATTGTTTGTTTAAAAATATGCACAAAAAAATATATATGTACATACACACATAGCAAAATCAATATTAATCATCGGCGATTATTAAACGGCGTTTGGCATCGGCAATAATTTAAATATTGAATCTCCATACATCAGTAATTTATAGAAGCTTGTATGGCATGGCTGTTTTGTTATTGCCATTTATATAACTATGTGCTTAGTTGCAGTGCTAATGGTGCTTTAACTAAGTACGATTTCTAAGTAAGAGAAAATCTGTAAGCCGTCAATAGAACTGGGTGAGCCACAATGTGCTCACAGCTAACAGCCAGTATAGAGTGGGCGTTGAAAATAATTGAAATAATAATTATCATTTTTTTTTCTTTCTAGATTTGAACACTTTTTCTGCCGCTTTTCTGCGCCGCAACAAACACAGCAAGTAGTAGCTTAAGAGTGACTCTGGGCTTCAAATGCTTAATCATCGGCTATTTTTGAGTATTTGCATAGCTTCCATTACTTTGCTTCTCTTTATCAAAATGGAACATTTATGCCTTGATGGAATGGAACGTGTTATGAGTAGTCAATTTTACTTGATTTTTAAAGTTGTGAAGTAGATTAAGACGGATGCATCCAACCATTTTATAATCTCGCAGTAAACATGGAAATATTTCTTGGTCAGAAAAATTTATAATAAAAAATGTGGCATGCGAATTCAACTTTTGTTATTACACGAAATTATGTACCGATTAAAATCTTTTTTGGTACCTTATTAACTGATACTAAGGGCAAGTGCTCATTTTGGATGCTCTAAATATCTACCATATACTAATATCATGCTATTTAGCAGAAATCAATATATCCATCAGAATAATGATGTGATAACGTATATACCAATATCACTAATTTTACTACCGAATCCCATAATACCATAAGTTCTACCAGAAATCTACAAGACTAGCAGGAAAAGATATTACATAGAAGATACGCATATGTGTAAAAAATTGATTGTATTGTTAGCCCTTAAAAACTTTTGTTAAGTTTTTTGCATTAATATAAGTACAAGTTAGGTAAGGTGATATGAATGCGCATAAATTGAAATGAGAAAATTATGTCAACAGAAACTACTTGATTTATTACCAACGGTTGAAATGCCATACAAATTACGAACCATATTTATTTTTTTTTTAGGAAAATCAAACATATTACAGTTTTTAAATGAAGATTATGAGTGATAAGGGTAAGTGGTAACAGATTATTCGCAATAATTAGAGCCTCTATGTATGTGTAGTTATAATATTATGAAATTTATTTTTAAACATTTGCTAAACCAAAAGAAATTTCTATTTTACCTAGATAAATTCTGTCATAGTATATTATGATTTATTGGCATTTCTTAAAAACTTTTGTGGTACCATAAATGTAAAGTGCGATACTAACGATAATAATATCAGTAATAGACACAATGTGTAATTGGTCAGACGTTTTAATAAAAAATATTTGTTTGTAGAAGTATAGTATATATATATTTTAGCAGTGTTGAAGAATTCTGTTATTTGATGGGTGGAAGTGGTTGTTACTATATTTTTCCCACTTTCAGATGGTTCATTACAACCCATCTGCAATACTAACTTGCCTGGAGTGCCAAGGGATACGTGGATACAGATTGTTAAGGTATTTCAATAATTATCAAGTTTTATTCTAGTCTTTACAAAACGCGCAGCACCAGCGTTTTTATGATTAATTTTAAACAATTTCGGCCTATTTATTTTTATTGGTTATTTGTTTTGTTATTTATTTGATTTTTGTCTATACGTTGAGTAGCAAAATAAACTTACATACCCTTTTTATTAAATTGACTAAATCTGGTTATGTCTGCGTATGTTGTAGCGGCGACCGCCTTGAAAGGCGATTAAAATCTGAGGCGTATTGTTTTTCAGTTTTATTTTTATACGTTTAAGTTTTTAAAATTAATTAAGGAACACAAATAACTCAATTTATTAAAAAAAATATGTTGTAGAAAAAAACAGAATTGTATGGCTTATGATATAGCAAATGTATTTACACACAATTGTGAATACTATATTGTTGTTATTCGCACATATCCATAAAAACGAAACAACAAAGCATGAAAAAGTGTGTTTATGAGTTTAATTTTTATTTTGTTGTTACTTCAGTTGTAAGCCAATAAAATATTTCATTATGTTATATATTTGAAAAGTTGTCAATTTGTTCAGCTTTACTAAGTATTTGTTTCAAATAACGAAACAGTACACAATTACTATTTATATACTCATTTGCAACTATGAAACATTTAAGATTGGAGAAAATCTTGACTAGCAAGATCATGTCAATCGCTAAGTATACTTGGTGACCAAACATTTGTTTTTATATTATATTAATTTTTCCAATAGCTTTCGTCGAGCGAATTTCGGCTTCTTATATAATCCATCAACCATTCGAGGTCGGCTTGAAACTTGTAGTTCACTACAATTATCAGATAACAAGAATTTTGGTATAAGTTTGGTGAAACAACTGGTGATACACATGTAGAGTAAATAGGTTTCCGGAGCTTCACATACTTCTCCCATATGCAAATACGCTGGTTTCTTGAATAATTGTGAACATAAACGCTGCAGTGAAGTATCAAACTAGTCAGGAAATTTACCAGATTACATCCTGTCTGAAATCAAAAGGTAAGAAAAAAATTATATATTATATGTTATTCCTCTTATACAAGTATAACCATTTAATGGTTTTACTCCAAAATCCAACTCGAATTTTGTAGTATTCTTGAACTGGTTTGACTCTGGTATGTTTTTGACTGCAATCCAGGAGTTGTCATATACATAAACTCGAAAAATTACCAGTCGCATGTACGGAAAAAAGACAGTCGGCTGACTAGTTCAATTTGTGTTCCAAGCTGGTTGCAAAATGATTTATAACTTGTTGATTCAACTGCAGGGAATTTACATTGAGGAAACGCACATGCACATGAAAACCATTCGTAAAGTGATTTTTTTTATTATAAGCTACGTATATAAGTATATACATGTAGCATCCTTATAAACGTATACATGTCCATTGGTTAGAAAGATAATAAACTTACACGACTAAACTAACACTGACAATAAAAGACAACAAAAATCGTTCAGGGATTACTTTATGCAATACAAAAACTGGCGCCAGCATTCTTTGACCTAGTAAGGCCAGGCTAAATTTCCTTAAGCGCACATACATATTTACATGTATACGTATATACCCTCACAAACACCAACAGGATCGATGGAATTTTTATTGTTAAAGAGAAAAATATGATGCTGTTGTTTAATGCTTTATTGTTAAATAATTCAAAAACACGGTTGGACTGGGAAGAGAGCTTTTTCTTTCTTGCTTATACATTTTTTAAAAGTGTTAAATTTTGTTCGCATATTTTATAACACCTTCTAATAACTTGATTTTCCAAATTGTTTAAATATATGGTACTCACTACCCATTTTATTTTAATATTTTAACAAAAAATTTTTTTCCTGTGTACACGCACTGGGTTGGTTTATTAACAAACAAATGTTTCCCCATTGTTTCCGGATTTAAATACAAATTCTATGGTTAATATTTCAAAGATTATAACTTTTTTATGTTATTGAAAAAGGTGTGGAAATTGAATAATATACATGAATATATTTGAGGGTCAACAGGTACGGCTGTTGACATTTTTAAAATTAACAGGTTTGTATTTTGTGTAGAATTACCAAATGCCAATGAAACGTTAATTCTTTAGCAGCTTCTTAAAATTAACAATTCTTAGATAAGTCAAAAACTGTATACTCAAAAAACGTAATATAGAAATTATTAATCATGTATGTATGTATACAAACAAATTTACAAATGTACGTCTGGTTGTTGGTTGTACCAAAGGTTCATAGTTTCTTTTGAGTGAGGTATATTTATTAACAAATTTAAATGTAACCACAACGTAGGAAGGGTCACGAAAAGCGAATCTACACCCACTTATGGGCAGGACTAGTAGAATTTTAATTTTAACTGAAAGTATGCTGGGTAATGCTATCAGGCAACCAGACCATTTCGCTGCAAAATATCCCATTAAAATTTGACGAATTTAAGCTAAATGTGACACACAGAAGATGAGATTGATGTGGCAGTGAATGTATGATTTTGTGATGCTAATTCAATGAAATTTTAAAGCGGGAATAAATATGTCTATTAATCTTGCAGTGAGTTAAGTAAAACACTAAATCTGCAAAGAAAGAGGAGATTTTTGTATGACATATGAATATACATAAATATTTGTGCGTATATATGTATTTATGTGTAAAATAACACACATACCGAAAGAGAATTGAATACAAACACAACACCGATAAATACATAAATTAATAAACAAAACTGAACCAACATTGACAGAAAAAGCAGCCAGGGTAGTTATGTATTTCAAATTTCTCTGAGTTTTTAATACTTTGTCTTAATTGTTTCCATAGTGAATTTGTTGTTGCTTTTAGAACACTCGTGGGCTCGTCAATCTTCTTCGGTAGGTTAGACCCAACTCTCTTTAATCCCCTCAGCAATCCTATCACATGTTTCCGAAGCAAGCAATTGCTTTTGCAATTTTGTGTTCTTCGTTTCATAGCTATCTTATTGTTCATATCCCCGATGAAATGTCGCTTTTATGTTTTATTTTTTTTCACTTTTTGCTTTGACTGTGCACGTTCGACTTTACGGTTGAAAACAGTAGTGAGTCGTGGCCAACCACACAAATCGGTGACGAGATCGCTGGCGAATCAGAGGTAAGCAATGATGAGAGAATTTACTAAAAATAGAATTTTCACATTCACAAAAGCTTAGACATGCGATTTGTTAGTTGTTTTATATTTACTATACTGCCTGTAACCCGCAGACCGTCGGTAAACCTATCGACTACTTGCCTCAGTTTGCGGCTAAATGCTGTTCAGCAGCATATCGATAGGTAAATACGAGTTTGGGCAGGGAGGGAGAGGTATGAGAACTTGAATGAGGTGGAGCAGCCGATTGTGTGTTAGTCGTAGCAAAAATGCTAAAGTAGAGAAGAGTAGAGGAGACTTCGGTGAGAATAACGATTGGCAACGGGGTAGGCATCAAATAAACGAGCGGCAAATTGACACACATACGATTCTTTTGGAATATTTGTTGGGTTGTATTTTCTTTATACCCCCTTTGCCGACTTTGTCCTATTACTCATGAATGCATACAAGTATATACATACATACGGTTTTTGAATTGATTTCGTGCCTGACCATTAGAATGGCACATCTAACAGTACGTCCGTCGACACATCGACTGAACGACGATTGTTGCTGTCTGGCTCATTTTTAAGTTTTGAAGTAGAATGCATACATACATACATACACAGATATAAGTATATTAAAATGTTTGTATGTACATATCTACTATGAGGGTTATTATTTAGAGATGCATGGGCAAACCAGCAATCTCTTTGAGATCAGTTATACCAACACTGAAAAACTAGCAATTTATCTCATTTGTAAGTGTACTTGTATCTTGCAAATATTTTCTTGCTGATATCTCAAGGTATGATCAAATATTTAAAAAGGAAAGGAATTCATAATACTAAATTATAGGTAATCACTTACATTTGAATATTGGAAACACTTAGTATTACAATAATTGAAGTTGAAACTACAGTCACAATTGATATTTGATAATAGCTGAATATACATACTTACAAGTATATGTTGTTGTTAATTGTCCGATCAATAATTAATAATGATAACAAAAGTTATTACTGATCAAAGTATAAAGACATTTTTCAAACACATACAAATATATGTACGTATGGATGAACATATCAAAACAGCAACATTTATACAAGTGCCGCAAAAATATCGAAGTGCCGCAATGTCTCCATGTTTTGTATAACAACAAAGAAATAAAATGGCAATCAAATAAGTAAGGGAATAATGTACACAGGAGTATTTCGCGTTTTAATGTTAAAAGATTTGATATTTTGGACAACTAGCCGTGTTTTTGGTTTTACACCTGTAGAGCTATTAATAACTTGCACTCTGATGTACTTATATTCCATACATTCTACGTTATGAGAGGTTTTGCAGCTTTTTTCATAATGTCGGAAAATATCAAGGTCATAAACGGGGACCAGCTCAAACAATTTAATACTATGCCGTTTAATTTTTATACATTATATACTTGCACAAAATCTTCTCTTATGTACAATCAGGGGGAGACATAATGGGGCATATATATACAAACTTATTCACAGAAATAGAAAGAAAAGGCCGGTACCTAATAACGTACATACATACATATGTATGTATACATAAACAATCTACATACATATGTATGTATATACAATATTTATTTGTGTACGTACATACATACATATCCACGCAATCGCGTTAGTAAATATGCTGAAGTCAAGACGAACTCTGAGAAACAAACGTATTGATGTATGTATGGGAATATATAAGTCGATACATATGTATACCACATTTAAAATCTAACAAAAATCAAAATTTGGCGTTGGCACTCAAGCTGAGTCGAACATTTTGTTTTCGATTCTCTTCTTCTATTGAATTTTTATACACACCAGTAAGAAACATAGTATATAAAAACAAAGTCGTGCTTTTAACCCACTCACTTATACATAGTGAGTCGAGTTTGTTAAAAGTGTTCGCGCACAGTCATTTATTTTGTTTCACTGCCGCTCAACATTGCCAGCTGTATATTTTGTGTGCAAAAACATTTAGTATACTTCGTACTGTCTCATTATCCCCTCTGTATCCCATTCCTTGGTTTAATGGCACAAATTTCAATTTAAAATCCGAAACTGAAAAAAGCTCGTTGATTTATTAACACTTGCATTATATACATATGTACGTATGTATGTAGTACAATATTGGGTGCGCCAGCAGTGTTTTATCTCTTCTTACTTGACTCGGTTATCGTAACCATTGTGGTTTGCCTTTGCCTAGAATTGCTATTATGTATAGCGAATAATTATCTAGTGAAGAAAATAGCACTAGAATATGTTCATATTTATGTATGTATACATAATTTTATTCTTTCTGGCAAAATATTTGAAGGGGTGACATGGGTTTCACGGCTTCAAAAAAATATTTTTTATAGTTTTATTTACTTATATAACATCTCTAGACTATTGTTGTAAATTGAAATAAAATAAAATAAATATTGATCCGAGTAGTAGTTTTGGAGATACAGCCTTGAAAGTTGGGCACTCGAGGTCAGCTATATACATATCTAGTTACTTAAAACATTAAACCTGTTTTTTCGAAATTGTGTTTTCAAAGTCCGTTGTCAATATTTATTGCGAACTACTTAACCGATTCGAGATATAACTTACAAGGTCTTCAACAAATTTGTTCAACGGCAACTATTAAAAAAAAACACGTATAGAAATTTTCCCCAATTTTTTTTAAATACAATTTTCACTTTCGTCCAATAGCTAGTTTATGCTCTTAATTAACCCAAGTATTTTTTTCTTTTTACTTTTGATGATCCTGTAGAAGTTCTGCTGTCAACGCGGAGGCACCTTTTTCTTGAGGGACTGCCACAAATGACGTTGCAACGGCCGAGTTTTGAATATTCTTCTTTTACAAAATAAAATATTTAAATTTTTATATGAAAAAATAATTGAAAATAGGCAGTTTTTTGCTCGTGGAAACTCATGTAACCCCTTAAGCTATAATAATACACGCAATAAACTTTTTCAAGAGAATATTTTCCTATGAGATACCGGTGTTGGACTAATGATCACAATAATTCATATGCACTCATGCAAATACATACCATACATATCTATGCGCTTACATTTAGAAATTAATATGGATATACAAAATTAATATAGTATTTGTTGCTTCACCAACTTTTGTACATTTGTATATATTGCCTACTCTTCATTGGTTTTGATTCGGCCCTCTAAACTGTATTACTGTGTGTGCTGAAAGCATCTTTTGCGGTGTATGCTACAGATCCAACCTAAACGATTTAACTTTGTTTGCTTCGTTTGGGTCACTAAAGTTTCTATATGTATATGTAAGCTTTGTGTGTATAAACACGCATACATACACGAACATGTGCGTATGAGAGCACACTTTTCATATGTAGGCATTAGTAAAAACGTCGAAATACAATGAAACACAGATACATACATATGTAGATATATGCATGTCCATGTACCCAACCAACATTTAGAGAATTGTCTGACTGGGCAAAATTTAAATTTAACATTATGTTTTTATACTATACGATTCTTTTCCTATCTAGTTTTAAGAGTCTTTTTACTGGCTTTCACAATTCACCCTATAGTTATAAATAATTACGCGCGGTTTGCAATATACTGCATTACTCAATTTGGTATTACATAAAAAGATTTGATTTCGAAGCGTTTATTTTTAATGTTTGCAAATGCTGACTGGGTAGCTAATATTTACGCAGAGTGTAGCAAAAGTTTCTCGTTGTTTTCATTTTGGCTTTGTTTGATGGTGTGGTGCTAACTGATAGTAATTTAATTCTCTCCAGAGTTTTTAGCTTTTGGTCATTTGGTATGCTATTTACTTTGGCATTTGGTACAGACTTCAATACTACACGAGTTAACTTCAGTCATTATTGTGCACTGAACTCGGGCGTTACATAATGTAAAAGCGTTCGCGAATATATTAAGAGATTTCCAATATTACACCATTATCAACCTTTGCCAATGGAGAAATTTTCTTTCAGTGTTTAACTCCCATCGATTTTTTTATTGCCAACTTCTCTCTAAAAATGTTAATAATGCCAATATTGGTAGTGAAATTATTGCTCTATAATAGGGGTTGTTTGTGTATTTGTAGTCGAATTGTGTCAAGAGAGTGCAAAGCTCTCTGCTTCGACTTTAGAAATTAAAGTAAAAAACAACCACCATTAGCTTAATGCTCGAACCCTAGGACCAACATCAATACCGTAGAAGTTATACTAAATAAACAACTAACTCGAAAGCCAGACGAGAAACACGCTCTCTCTCTCTAAAAGGCGAGGCCGTATCTGCATATTTTTCGGTGCCGGCTAATAAATGGCTATCGCCGTTAGAATAGAATCTATAGGTTGACTCAACGAGTCTACGAGTTGCCTTCGTAGACATCGATTGTGCCGCCATCGTAACAGTTGTCGCTGTCGTTGGCGTTGGCGTTGTCAGCGTTGACTTTGCTGTTAGTTTATGTATTGTCGCATTAAACAAATTCAAAATTTGCTCCTAAGTTTATTTAATGTGTTGGACTCGTCGTGAACGCAACAATCACTCGCGCTTTCTAAGTCCGATTGCCTGTTGATTTTCGGTAAAAACTATGAAAAAATAAACTGTTTTAAAACAAACTTTGTGAAACCTTTAGCAACCCCTTTCGTCTTAAATCGGTACAAATTATTTGAAGTGTCCTATGCTTGCGTGGATTTAGTGGCCTGTGACGACAAGACCAAATATTTATTAGTAATTAAGAATCCAAATAATATGTGTAGAAAAGCTTTAACCACTAGTAAAGGTTAAAGAAGAAATAGTTAGTTCGAAAAATAAAAGTGCCTAATGTTTGTGTTTAATATATTTTTACAAAAGTCTCCAAAACAAGAAAAATAAGAAAAAAACTAAGAATTATAAAGCTCCTTAAATATATGTATGCATGTATATTAAAAAGTGACTTATCAAATTAGTGTTAAAGAAATACAGAATATTAAGACGATTTTGCTTTAGTATATCTACTAAATTGCAAATATGCATATGTACAAACATATGTATGTATATGCAAAACTCGCAAAAACTTATGTTTGAAATCTGTTTGAAAGGGGTAAGTTTCTAAATGAAATTATTCAATTAAATTTCGTTAAATAAAGCATAATTATATACATAAATTTGAATTTACTGGTATCAACACTACATAAATTTTGATTATTAACTATTAGAACAAAAAACTTCTGTAGTAATGCTAGAAATAATAGATCTACATATATCTTTGTCAACAGGTGTTTACTTATGCACCCGTCAATTTATTCTAAATGCGTACATTCAACAATATTTACACATACATACATATGTATTGTCAATACTATTTGCATAAATCCATACAGTGTTCTCCATTCTTGAGCATTTTTCCATCATATACCATTTACTTAGATATTTGTATGAAATAAGCCTACATATATGTACACAGTTGTATTGTATATGATAATATTATCATACATGTAGGTATGTAATAGTGTATGCAAGTATATATAAAATAATATTTATATTTATTTAACTTTCCTTTTTTTTGGTGGCCGTATGCCATCCGTTTGAATAAGATTCAGCTATTTAAAAGATATCTTCTTGGTTGGAATATAATCTCATCATTCTTAATTTGTTTGATGTGCGCCGCGGACACTTATTTTTTGGCACACTTGACAATCGCTGACGTATCAGCTAATCACCTTGTCTTGCTCAACCACCCTCTCTTCAGCAAATCTCTTAAGTAGTATTGAATATGAAAACATGAATTATTAGCTAAAACGGAAAACGTGGACCCAAAAAATTTAGGATTTTCTTCTTTATTCAATAAATTTTTATTCGTTTTTACGCATTTCCGTATGAGCACACAATTAAAAAAACTCTCTTACAATATCATTATAAATATTAAAAAAGTCCCTCTATATACATAATTCTAAGCAAAAATGTATACATATTGTGCGGACTATCATATAGTATTTATATACATACATATGTATGTATGTATATACATTTATGCAAAATTTAAATGTGTGTGAATTGAGAGGAAAATGCTTGGGGAAAACAAAATTTTTGACTATTATTCGCACATCTAGAATGTTTTTTTTGTTTTGAAACTCCAAATGAGCACCGCGATATTACGTAGTAATCGCCGTTATTTATATATAAATAAAAGTTTAAAGCAGCATATTATGTACATTTGTATTAAGAACAATGTGAATAAAAATCTTCAAGGGTAGCAAGTCACAGTACCTTCATACTATGTATTATAATATTTGTATGTATATAGGTATTAAAAGGGATGATTCTTCAAGCTCTTACAAATGCACATTAAGTTAACGCATACATTCATATGGTATGTATGTAGTGAATTAGACCAATACGACTTTTCTTCCTACAAGCTACTTGTAATAGTCGAAATATTTAATTATGAGTGAAAAATTACATTGTACTACCTATACATATAATATAGAAACTTTACACATAATGGAAAGGGACTCTATCAAGAACTTGTGAAGAAACTCTCATGTCTATCGGAATTTTTATCTTATCATTTTATTGAAACAAATTAAATAACTTTGCAATGCGATTGAGCACTACCAAATACATAAATGGTGCGCATAGGCAATACATGTACTATGTACCTACAGATAAGTGGGCTTTATTGTATATGTACATGTCAGGCATTCATATGACTATGTAAAGGTGGACCATATGGTCAAAAAAAAATCTTCAATATGTATTGGAGTCTACTCTAAAAAATTTATTTTTAGTTCAAAGTTGTATATTTATATAAACTCGCCCTTGAGAAATATTTTAGCAGCAAATGTTTATTTATATATATTCATATGTATGTTTGTGTTACGTCTCAGAAATACACCAAAATCTGGTAATACTAAATTATTAAAACGAAATTATCTAAGATTTGCTACTTTTACTTGAATAATTAATTCACGTCGTAATTTTACGTTTCCTTTTCTCACTCACATTTAGTATGACTATTTTTCCATTTTAATATAACGAAAACTCGTTTGGCATTTATAATTAAATCCACCCTCCATACGGACGAACGCTACACCAAACATTAATTCTTGGCTGTCACACAAGCAAAAGCTCCATTGAGAACCGCCGAAAAACATGTATAAACAGAGTTCGTACTTTTTTGTTTTCATTTGGAACTCATCAGTGTGTTTGCCACTCTTGCCGGTGTTTTTTATGCTGATTTTGGTGTTTGTTGTTAATTTGGTGTTCGCTTTGTTATTGTTAGTATTACTTTTGCTGTAGGTTTAGTGTCGGTTTTTATTTTTTGACGTTCTGTTGCTTTCCGTCTAACCTTGAAGTACATATATTTTATTAAATACAACACATGTGCGTGAGTTGGTCTATACATATGTATATGATAATATAGAGTTAGTATTTTGTTTGCTTATGTATTTTATTTCTCTTACTTTGGTATTAATTTATTTACGTTAGCAAAGTGTTTGAAAGTATTAGTGTATACATTATTATTAGTTTTTTTATTTATTTTGTTTATGTATTGCTTCGTTGCTTTCAATTTTCACTAAATATACAGTGGGATAATAAGACTTCTCTTACAAATGAAGAAATTTAAATTTTATAATAAAATGTCTCGATGTATATTTGTATTTCTGCTATAAACTTAAAAGAGTTAATATTAAAAATCAACGTTTAAAACTGTACTTTTTAAAGCTGGTATACCTAGTATAAAGAATATATAATAATAGCATTAATCAAATATATATGAGCAGAAACTTGTTGAAAACCCTCAAATTTATTTCTATTTTTATTTTATTAGAGGTTTTTGAATTCTTATTTATTATTCAGTACATTATAAGTACATTTTTTCCAAAAAGAAACATTATGTTTACAATTGATAGTTCCTCTTCCAAAACAGCAAACATTCATTGCTTAGGAGTGAAAAAACTTCAAAATTTATATTTGGTCAGAAGCAAAACGGCATTCATGCATAACATGTTAATTACTGAAAAAAAGTTGAAACAAAACACAATTAGCATTTCAACAGTATACGATGGCACTTTACTCACACATATACATACGTATATAATCACAATGGTTTTGCTTCCATAGGAATAACAAACATAGCTACACAAACGTCAAGGTCAAAGGCAATTTTTTCAAGCATAAAGCGAAACAATGTTTTATATATTACCTTACAATCAAATACAAATCTTGCTTTTTGTAAATATTCCGATTGTCACAATTCCATGTCAATTGGGTTTGGGTATATGATTAATCCCATTTTTTAATTTTACTCCGACAACAATCCTCTCACAAATTTTAATTTGAATTAAAAATCTTAACTGATTATTCATATTAATATATTATCATTTACAAATATATTATATCTAAGAATTATGTTTAACTTTGACCATTTTATTAAAGCTACATGCATTCATGTTTGTAATTTGATTAAAATGTTAGAATTTTATACTAGTCGATGTTTCACTCTGGTATACTTAAGTATATACCCTCATATATTTATCTTATATACTAGTGACGGGATATTCAGATCAGCTGTTTAACTCTGCTACAAGTACTGCATCAACAATTTATATTAAATATTTGCAAAGTGTGCCATCAGTAGTATTTATATAATTGTTAAGAGATAAATATGAACAAAAACAAAACAATTTGTAAATATGTACAAGTGTGTGTACACACACAATAAATTCAAAATCAACTAAACATTCATGTGTGTTATTATTGCGGCATCAATGGTAGCCCATATACTGTCGCTTCAGAGATAGACAGGTGTTGTGTAGGTGGTTGTTATATAGTGATTTATATTGCGTGGGTTTAGAGCAAAACTCGATTCAGCGCTAAACGAGGAGTAAATAAAAGAAAAAAGTGCAATAAAATACACAAATTGCAACGCCCGCTATCGTCCATACACTCACTCATTCAACAATTGACATTTTAAAGTAAAGGTTAGGATCAACCACATTAGCAATTGAAGTGGGCGGTCATTTCCGGATTACACGCACTAGCGTTTTCAAATAAATTTGTATAATCAAGGCAACAATCTCCCGGTCGATATGAACCAAAAATATAACGCAGTGATTTGTTTTGATCACTACCTTAAGCAACTCTTCATAAAGACTAAGCCTAATATTGTAAGATTTTTTAAATACCACTAGATTGATCGAATCATACACTCTAATTCGAAGATATATACTTATGAGGATACATATGTATGTATATAAAAGCATACACAGATATAATATAATAGTAAACTAAAACACGCATAGTTATGGTGTTGGGATATTAGCTAATTAGAAGGTGATAAATAAGCCAACGAACACAATATTAACGTAAAACTGTAGTCACTATTTTGCGCACCAAAGAAAGAAGACTATGCTTCGAAGGTTTGAATGGGGCAGTATTGAAATTAGACTTAGTGGGGCGATCCGTGTTCTGCGTTTTACGGAAATCCGGTGAGAATCCATCCAAGCCAGCGTGTCAGTTGTGCACAACCGCTTCATAAGCATTTCGCTTTGGCCTTCTAGAGTTTTAACCCTAAAAGCTAAATAAGTATCCGTTGGCCACACCCAAAATATATGTACATATGAAGTAACAAAAGAAGAGAGCTGAGCGACTAACAGCCATCTAATTAATTTAACTTTAATTGTGCGCAACGCTTTTAAATCGTTTAATATTTTATTCCGAACATTTCTCAGTTGGTTTGTATACCCGCATGAGTATACAGACATATGTATGTACCATATACTGCTTGTCATTTACAAATTGTTAAATAAGTAAGACGTTTGTTATAAATGTTTACTCACAAGTGTAAGGTAGTGCATACTGTATATTTGGGTGTAACATTTCTTAAAGCTTTCCCCAAAATATTTGCATAGTATTTTCTATAAATTGTTAAAATGTTCTAATGTAGAAATAACTATGTGTAATGATAGTCGCTTTCGAAATTGTATTCGATCTTAGATACAAATTTAATTGCGAAATTACTATTATTAATATAAGCATAATAAGATGACTTAAGAATTTCACGATTTTTTAGATATAATCTAGTTTGTTAATACGAGG